TGGTCTGGGAATGCTGAAGAGTGTGGGATCCTGTCAGGGGTTCTGTAAATTCAAAAGTATTTCATATTAATAAAAAGACATTTTTTTATTCTCATTCTTTCAAAGTTGTAGAGTGGAGTTCCTTAGAGATTACATGATGTGCAATATTGTAGTAGATTAGATACAGAAGTGGATATGAAGAGCTATTAAGTCACATAATAAAGAGATTTGAAAAAATGTAAAACTGTGTTATTCTCTCTACTCAAAATCCGCTTATTTTTAAAATAAAATTCTACTGTTAATATGCTAATAAGTGAAAAATTTCTCACTTTGGATTTCCAGCATGCCAAATATTAATATAACTCATATCAACAAAAGCTCATAGAAGCTTTCATTAAATTTTAAGAATGTTAAGGAGTCCTGAGACCAAAGAATTTGAGAACTGCTGATATAGTAGAATGATTGGTAGTAGATAACTATTATTTTTGCCTGCTTAGCTGTCTGCTTAGCAGCATGTCAATTCCTTATCTTTTTTATATCTGCTTTATAAGTTTTTATAAAAGATTTTTATTTTTATTTTTTATGCATACAAGAACTGCGGTACAGTCCAGAGGTGTGGGGATGTGGGGGTGGTGAGAGGATTCACCAGAGACAGAGTGGGGAGCAGAACAGGCAGATCTACTGAAATCCACTGCTGAGGGGAGCAGTGGGCGAGACAGGAGAGGTCTGCTGGGCCATATGTGGGTCAGCTCCCTGGCTGGGGCTTGAACTCAGGCCAGGCTGCAGCAGTGATAGCATGATAGCACTGAGACTTAACCCCTATGCCACAAGGGAGGCCCTGCTCTTTAAGTTTTAAAATGATCTTTGTGCTCCTTGTAGCCCCTGAGATTGGGTTAACTCAACCCTTTGGCTCAAGCAAAAGGCATTTGATTCAGGTTTGTAACCAGCCATGCCTGAATCTAGACCTAATCTATACCTTTCAACTACATGAACCAGTAAAAATTCACTTGGGTTCAAAAGAATCACTTACTAATATACTGAAGTATCAGGAATAGAGTTTGAGAAATGATCTAATCATTGTATTGTTTGCATCTAAATATTAACAGAAAAATGAATCTTCAATTTTATTATGTATGTATGTATTTATTTATTTATTTATTTATATATTTTTAGATTTATTTTTATGCAAGAACTGGGGTACAGGCCATATGTGCGGGAAGGTGAGAAGATTCACCAGAAACAGAATGGGGATCAGAACAGGCAGACTGACGAAATACACTGCTGAGGGGAGCAGCGGGCGAGACAGGAGAGGTCTACCATGCCATGCCATGTGGGACCCTCCCAGCCAGCAGGGATCAAACGGGTACTGCAGAGGCTGCAGACAGCTTCACAGCATGGGGCTCAACCACCTGTGCCACCAGGGGAGGCCCCTCAATTTTATTTTTGGTCTTGGCATCTATTAATATATGTTAGCTTACTAGGGTTTGGACCTGTTAATTTGTGATTTTGGTAACTAACTGCTGAATTGATACATAAATATAATAATACATGTTAATGAGTTTGCAGTAAATAAGAAGATATGTCCCACTGGGAATATATATTAAACCCTTAATTATAATAACACAGTCATCCTCTGCCGAAGATAGCTCCCTAGTCACATCTCCCTGGGTGGCTATTATTCAGTGTCTAGCCTTCATCATAATTTACTCGAGGCCTTCTCTGACTCTCAGAATAGGGTAGGCCTCACTATGTATTATTACAGTATTCTCATTATACTTGCACTTTGCCTTCAAAGCACTCATCACAATTTTAGTTAACAATTTGTGTGATGACTTGTTCGATATGTTTCCTTCCTGCTACAGTGTAAGTCCAGGTTTTATCTTGATTACCACTCAGTCCCTAGGATCCAGCTTAGTGGGTTCCCACAAATAGATTGATACGGTAAATGAGTGAGTGAGTGAATGAATGCATGAGTGTTTTGATAGGAGCAGTTAAAGGAGCTGTGGCGGCATAAACAAAGGGAGCCAAACAATGGTCCAAACAGAGGTATAGACCTAATCTTTACGAGAACAGAGAAGGACACTGGGACAAGTGAGGAGGAGATGGGAGAGTAGTAGAGTCAGAGCTCCTATTTGAAGCTGACATAGAAAAGGGCTCCAATCAGATTGTGAAGGACTGTTTGAGGTTTTTATCTTAAGGGCAGGGAAATGGTATTTTTTTGTTTAAAAACAATCCTGATCAGGGCCTCACTGGTGGTACAAGGGATTAAGACACAACCTATGAGGCTATCTGCAGCCACTGCAGCATGAGTTCAATTCCAGGCCAGGGAGCAACCCACATGGCGCAGCAGATCTTTCCTGACTCGCCGGTTGCTCCCCTCAGCAGTGCATTTCAGTTGATCTGCGTGTTCTGTTCCCCACTCTGTCTCTGGTAAATCCTCTCACCCCCCGTACCTCTGGCCTGTACCCCAGTTCTTGTATGAATAAATAAATCTTAAAAAAAAAAACACACACACACACGCAATCCTGATCAGTGTGTATGGAACAGTTTGGGGACAAGCAAGACTGGAAGCACTGGGACCAGTAGACAACATGATTAATTCCGATGAGAAGCTGTGAGGCTTGGACTGGCACAGGGGCAGAGGCTCTGTGGATTCCTTCACTAATTTTTTATTCAATGCATATTTATTGTCAACGTACTAAGTGTAGGTAGGCATTCTAGCAATATCCCAGGAAATGGGGATATAGAGGTGAGCCAGAATAAGTCCTTGAACATATGGGGTTTATATATTATTTGAGGAGTGGATGTTGATAAATGAAAGAATGAATGAATGGTTGAATGTATGAATGAATGAGTGAATAAATAAGCCAGGAAGACTCATTACTACTTACGTAGCTACAGGTGGACTGACAGAGGAGTTTCCAGTTCCGCCTGTGGAAGTCCAAAATCAATGGGATGAATATCTATAGGGTGTTAAAGGAAAATAAGTGCCACACATAGAAATGTCATCTGACACTGTGGCAAATAATACACAGTTTTATCTCTGCACCTACTGAGTTCAGCATACCTGAACATCATTCAGAGATTTGAGAAAATTTGTAATGTGAGGTTCAAGATGTCATAGAATAAAAAAATATAGAAAATATTGAAAAAGGATTGGAAGGGGGCTGCAATAAAATCATGGTGAGTTTGGTCCTTATAATACATTTTAAAAGTCTTTGTTTCTAATAAGGATTTGAAAAAAGGATGAAATATCGAGCTGTTCCCAAAAGAAGCAAAAGGAATAGAGTAAGAAAACAATTACTTCCTGAAATTAACAAACAAAAAGTAGGAAGAGTCCAGCACTTCATGGAGTAAATTAATGTTAATTGTTCCTATATTGGAGCTTGAAGTATTTTTTATTTCCCTATCAACCTTGATATATATTCACATATAAATGCTAAACACATTTTTTGAGTTTGAACAAATCATTTCATTTGTACAGATGCTTTTAAAGCCCAACTGGCTGCTCTTCAAAATGTGCTGAGTTCTGAGTGTTCCATGAAGATTACAAACTTTAGTAATTTAGAGATGTGTCATTTGCAATCAGTCTTGCTTACAGCAATTCCCATTAGAGAACTGTGTAGAAAGAGGACACACACACACACACACACACACACACACACACACCCCTAATAAAAAGTGGAAACATTCTAAGTGTTCAGAAGTGATTACATTGGCAGGCAGTTCCTTTCTACTGAAAAAGTATCAGAATCTGTGAGCAATGTTAATATTTCACTTTCTAATTAAGGGGCATAATTCTGAATAGAACATTTTTTAAAAGATTTATTTATTTATGCATAGAAGAGCTGGGGTACAGGTCAGAGGTGCAGGGAGTGAGAGGATTCACCAGAGACAGAGTGGGGAGCAGAACTGGCAGATCTACTGAAATATACTGCTGAGGGGAGCAGCGGGCTAGTCAGCTGCTCCCTGGCCAGCCAGGGATCGAATTTGTGCCGCAGAGGCTGTGGACAGCTTCATAGGCTGCATCTTAACCCCTCACGCCACCAGGGAGGCCCCTTTTAAGAAGGCCAGGAAAGTTTTGCTTAGCAAGGAAACTAACACTTAACTACAGTGTTGTCAGCTTTGTATAAAGCTCTTCTCTTCTTTGATTGTTGGTTGCCTAAGTCTAAGCTATACCCTTCTTATTTTTAGGCTACCGAAGGAAAATTACTGCCAAGCATAGGACTACTCTGAGGAATTCTGTAGGGAAGTAACATATGGTCCTCTATATGAAGCTATTGGGTCATACCTCTTTCTGAACACTTCCCCTTTAAAGTTGGTACCCATAAGTGCTCTGCTGCCACAGTCAAAACCTGCTTCACTCAAAGCCACATTGAGGATTTAGAAACAGGAATTTGGGACGGAGATTCTGAAAATATTTGTCTGCCAACATACTTAATTAGGAACTTTCCATAGTGGCTGCTGCCTCAGGAGCTCTGAGGATGTTCCATTCTAATTCTGTTGGTGGTGGAGGAGGAGGGAGGTGTCCGTGGAAGGACCAGCACGGAGAGGAAGCTAGAAGGCCCTTTGGAGATTACCAAGCCCAACATTTTAGGACCTAAACAGGAAACTGAAACTCAGGGATGTGAACTGCCTGAGGCGTATGTGTCATGTCACCTTTATTCTTTACTGGGGCAAACACCTGCCTCTTCCCCAGCCCATCTCTTGAACCTCAAGAGAGGCAGCTGAGGATGGGCCAGTGGCAGCTGGAACCACTGCAGCCAACCCACAGCCTCCTCCCCTGGGGGCCCCAATGGGGAAGAGACCATTCAATAAGAGTAAGAAAGAGAGGGAGGGCGAAAGGAAGGAAGGGGAGCCAGCCAGAGGTGGGAGTGGAAGAGGCAGCCTCGGCCCGGGCTGATTGGTTCCCGGGGCCAGCCCTCTCCAAGAGGTTTATAAGAGTTGGGGCAGCCGGGCGCCCTGCCCGCTGGTCCGCGCGCCGCAGGAGCACCACCCGACTCCGAGCACCCCACGTCGAGGTTCCCCTGGCCCTGCGCCGGCTCCACGCTGCCTCTGCAGTTGACTTTGGACGGCCCAGAGGAGAGAGAGCGAAAGAGGGAGGCGAGCGCTGGAGCAAGCGGGCCGAGCGCCATGCGCCGCGCCAGCCGAGATTATACCAAGTACCTGCGCGGCTCCGAGGAGATGGGCAGTGGAGGCTCCGGCGCCCCGCACGAGGGCCCCCTGCACGCCCCGCCGACGCCCACCCAGCCCGCGCCGCCTCAACCAGCCGCCGGCTCCCGCTCCATGTTTGTGGCCCTCCTGGGGCTGGGGCTGGGCCAGGTCGTGTGCAGCGTCGCCCTGTTCCTCTACTTCAGAGCGCAGGTGAGTGCCCGCCTCCCCAGGGGCGCGCAGGCGAGGCGCGCCCGCCTCCTTCCTCTTGCACCCGTGGGAAACTGAGTCTGGCTGCCGGTTCCACTCCCCAGACCTTACATATTCTGGAGAGTAAAGTGACCAGAAGATAGAGTCCGGCTCGGGGCCAGCCCGGCGGGGGTCGGGCGCTCTCGCCTCTGGCCTCCGCGCGCGCACCGGTGGGCTGGGAACTGAGGCTGAGCTCGCGGGACCTTGTGCTTTTGAATTTCCCCCCGCGAGACAGCATTGGCCGCTCGCCTCTTCTGGGAATGATTGTGCACTGTTCCCCCAGCCCCTTTCCATTTCTCAGAGCTAAGAAGTAGCTTATGTTCCTTTAGGGAAAAGAGCAAAAATAAGAGCCTTCACTTGGGCACCTGATGTTTTCCTTCCCAACTACAACCAGGAGGTTTTTGGCTCCTGGGACTGGCAGTTCTGCGACGGTGCTTGAACCGCTTGCAGAGCAGAAGGTCCAGGCGCGTGCGGTGCTGCCCTCCTGGCCAAATGCGCCAAATGAAGTGGCGGGTGTCCGGACACCCAGGGTCTTGGCTGAGGCCGTGTTGTTCCCGTGGTGTTCAGTTCGCCCTGGGTGCAGAAGAGGGAAATCCCCGCGTGCCTTTCTCCTGAAGTGTGTGGAGGAAGGAAGCAAGGTGTGTGCGTGTGTGCACGCGAGCGTGTGAGATGGTGGTGAGGTTCTTCCCTTGGAACAGCCTTGCTCCATACAACTAGCAAGTATCCGACCTTTTCAAAGATGAGGAAGATGGCTTGGAACTGCAAAGATAGTAGAACCGAAGGGGTAAATTTGTAATATTATGCTTTCTGGTGGTTTGTGCTCTTGTGTTTTCTTGGAAATTGCAGTGCAGTCGGTTGGATTCATTCAAATGTTCTTGTCTGGTGCTGTGAACTCTTTCTCAGAGGAAGTGGGGGGCTGACTGTGCAATTTTTTATGGGAAAAAAGAGTTGGGTTTGGACTTGGTTAGTTTTCAGACTCAAAGGTGATTACTAAACCAAATTGGATGCATCAAAACATGATACTGCTTGGTCCTACCAGTTTTTGGCATGTGCCAGAGTCTTGAATGACTGTTACTTTTTAATCATAGGCTTTTTGTTAAATATTCATTACCCAACTAGTTCTGGCTTACAGAACTGGTTTGATAATCTAAAACAAAGGTCGAAATACCATGTCCAATGCTTTGGAAAATATGTATTTGTATATTAATGAAAATAATGTCTACCTATTGAGATTCTTTTTTTTTCCCCAAAAGACAACTTTCCAGTGGTTTGCTTGCATCATAGGTTACACAAATCTATAGAAAGTGATGAAATGTTTTCCTTTCATTGGAGTATGCTGTGGTCAAAAGTGATGGTTCATCCGTTTTCCCTACCAGCTTGTTTTCTCTCTCACTTAGTGCTTGTGTACGGAATCTTGGCCCTGCCCAGAACCCTATTAATTGCTATGGAATATCGGTTAAGGGTCATTTACTCAATGTGCAATGTGCACCTACTATGTTCATGGCGCAATGCCAGGTAATGGAGGCACCCACAACAAAGGCTACAAATTCTTCCTCCTGGGAGAGAGCAGAATTCAGAAAAGGTCAGAAGATGTAGTAGTTCTTTACCTTTTATCTTTTCTAACACCTTGGGGGGATGGCATTTACATAGCACTAATAATGAAGTGCATGTTCTGTGCTGAAAGAGCAGAGGGAATGAATGGCTCTGGGGACCAGGAGCTGCTTTGATTGGTGGAAGCTTGGGAAACCAACAGGGACTTGTAGGGAAGAGTGACTTGCTGGACTCTTATCATAGTTTTTCCTTAGGCGGTCTGGATATTAATGGTCTAATATGCTGAGGAGTCTAGCCTTCTGATGATCACATAACAGAGCATCACCTTAGCAGTCTTGATGTCACAGGAATAGCGAAATTCTCAAAACTCTCCCAAAGTAAACATGTAAGTTAGTAAGCCTACCTAGAAATTGTTCATTTGGAGAATATAATGTTAATAGATTTTGGGGTATAATTTTCCTAAATGCTATGATGATTGGTTTTTCTAAGACTATGCAAAATATATTAGCTATTACTTTACACCCAATTTTGTACTGCATTTTTAAAAGGTCATATCTTTTAGTAAAGAAGTGATATTAGGAACAGTCTGTTAACAGCAATAAGTCACTAGATCTCATAGCATTTTACTAAATATCATATCTACATTTGTTGGTTTGATTTCTGAAGGCATCCTAATCATTTAGAGATAGTCTGAAGTAGTGAACACATGGAATGCTGTTTAAAAATAACAGGAGGGGGGTGGTTTGGAAAGTGGTTATAAGATTGGCCATCTGTTGGCAACTGATGGAACTTGGGGATGGGTATGCTCTGTAATTTGGGAGGGGGTTCCTGCTACAGTTCTTTCCACTTTTATATATGTTGGGAGCCTTCTTCCAAAGTTCTAGCAGAGAATAGACTCAACTGATCTGTCACTGGTTTCATATTTTCATTTATATCAGCTTCCTTGGATTAGAATTTGTTACCAAATATGAGATAGCTTTTGATTTCTGCTAAAGTTGTCCGTCAACTACTAGGAGTGCAGAAATACATTTGAATTAGAATGAAATCATCTGGTATCAGGTGACACAGTTGCAACTTGCAGTGAAAATGAGAAAAGGAGCCAGTTTCATTGGGTTTTTTTTTTTGGGGGGGGGAGAAGGCAGCTATGCAGATCCTTAAGAAAAAGTAGTTTAATTTAGTTTTAAGTACATTAGAAGAACATCCAGAATAGTATAAAAATTTCAGTGACTTTCAAAAACTTTCCCCTTCTCAACTCACATTTGAATAGTTAAAAATGAAGCAGGCTCCTGAATGTTTGCAGATTGCCTGTGCCTGGATTATAAAAACAACTGTACTAGATCCAGTGTAGATTGGCTTTCCCCACGCCAACCTTGCCAAAGAAAAAATAGCGTGTGGCTTTTGCTATATATTTACCACATAGTGTTCATACTTTGGTTTACAAAGGGTGGAAAAAAAAACCCTTCCAAAAAGTTGTTTGTAAAATTTGTGTGTGCTTTTTCAAAAATCATCCATAGAACCATATTCAAAGTTTAGAGTTTAGCTACCAAGATAAGCTTTTCAGAAAACTCAAGCTTTGTTGTCCTTTTAACTCCTCTCCCCAGTTCCCCCAATATGCCTACTTCAACCTCCCCGACTGCTATACCCAGGAGAGCAGTCACTGCTGAAAATCTGATGTAGCGGGGTGCAGGCCGCTTGTTTGGAAAAAAAAAGAGAGAGAGAGAGAGAAGGAAAAAAACAGATAACAGAGTACAAATGTCAAACATCCTGCCTCATTTAACCATACAAATGATTAATTTCAAGGAAGTAAAACAAAAAAGACAGTTCATTTCTTATGAACTACATTATCTGATAAATGCGTTTTAAAAGTTCATTTTAAATCAGATTGTCAAGATTTATTTGATGTTTTAGACATTTCCAGGTACAATGAATTCATTTGTAACTCAGTTTACTGTGATTTTTGGGTGCAGTTCTGTGTCCTCTTGAGTGTAAGTTCCATGGAGGTGAGGACAAACTTACTTTGCTCACTCATTCCTCGTATCTAGCCCAGGACATGGCATGTTCAATTTACTGAAAAATGTTTTTGAATTATTTGCAGCACTAAAACTATATCCATTTTTAAATCTGTAATATGCAAGCTATAGTCAGTAGCTAAAACAGACTGAAAACTATCATTTTTCAGTCATGCAAATTCTCTATCCATATTGCTGCATTTAAGGGGACAGGTTGCTGGGCAGGAGCTCCATTCATCAAATCACTCAGTGTGGACTGTGGTGTGTCCAGCACCAGTCCCACTGCCTGCCTTGCAGCTCCTCCAGTAGAGAGATCACGGGAGCAAAGACCCACATTCATCTCTGTGTGTGTTTGGCCCAGAACTCCTGTGTCTGCCTCTTCTCCCTCATTTCTTCTGGTCTCCATTTTCAGAACAGAAAGGCTGCAGAGCACTGTAAGAATAAAGACTTTTGGTTGTAGGTTTAGAAGAAATTTCTAAAATATGATCAGTCTTTCAGTGAGCAAAGTGAATGAGTACATCAAAATTGATGATGCCATGTTTTCATGAGTTCTTTTGGGAAAACAGTTGGTTATTTTCATGTGTTTTATCTCTAATGTTATTTCCCAAAACAGCAGTTCTCAACTGCACATTGGAAACACTTGGGGAAAGAGTCACTGGCACTTATGCCTATGGGTATTGGTTACATCACCTGGGGGAGTGGCTGGGAGTAGGGAGTGGAGGTACAGGGAGGCTGGGGGCAGAGCTGGAGGGTGAATTCAGGGTATGAATATTTTTCAGAGAGGGGATAAAATCTTTGTGTTGTTTTTCTTTGCATCAAATCATTAACCTTAATTAACAGTTGCAGTAGTTTTATAATAGTAGGTATTACTTGTGAAGAACATTTTTAATTGGTATCTAAGGAAATCTGAGTTATTTTAATAGCTTGGAACCTATATTTGTTTGAGAAGCATTACGTCTCAAATGTACTGTGTGTCAGAATCTGCTGGGATCTGGTGAGAATGCAGGTTCTCAGTAGTGCACTAGGCGGGGCTGAGATTGTGTTTCTCACAAGCTCTGCAGGATCTCCTGATGCTGCAGGTGCTTGCATGACACCTTCAGTAGCAGAATTAGCTGCTGCTAGGTGGCACGTAGGTGGCATTTAGCTTATCAGCAGGACAGAGCTTACCCAATTTTAGGGTCCCCAGGCATTTCCCCATCAATACCACATTGTTCCTGTAGTTCAGCAGATTTCTGGGAGTGAGCCAGCTGTGGCCTTTGCCCAATTCTTCTTTCAGGAGGTCTGAACCCAATCACCCTCTGTATAAGTTGCCCAGGCTACTCTGGTTTTGTGGGATACTTATTGGCATGAGTGACGTTTTACTGGGAAAAAAAAGTGTGTGATTGAAAGTTTGTTTTTTATTAAAAACTCACATATCCTGATTCATATTACTTAAAGAATATATGAAAAACAAATAGGCATTGCCAGTAGTTTTTTTTTTTTTAAGAATTTTTTATTTATTTATACAAGCACTGGGTACAGTCAGAAGTGAGGGAGGGTGAGAGAATTCAACAAGGCCAGAGCAGGGAGCAGAAAAGGCAGACTGATGAAGTACACTGCTGAGGGGAGCAGCAGGAGATGTCTGTGCGCCATGTGGGACCCTTGCCGGGGCCTGGGGTTCGAACCGGCACTGCAGAGGCTGCGGGCAGCTTCGCAGCCCAGCGCTCAACCACTGCGCCACCGGGGAGGCCCGGCACTGCCAGTAGTTTTGCTTCATGTCTGATACCTGTCCATGATTACAAATAACCCACATATGTGCAAAACTGGAGTAGAAAAATTCGTACTAATGGGGATACATTTGTCGAAAAGCTGTCATTTTGTGTTAAGATTTTCAGAGATGGATAGCGTACTCCCCACCTACCTCTGATGAGTGGTTAATAAGCCTGCATATCTTTTTTCATTACTTTTTAAAAGATAATTAAACCAGGGAAAAAGAGACTTGGTATTAATTGACTGAAATTTAATTATATAATTTTCCCTTTTGTTTACACCTACTGATAAGCAAACACACGTCAAAAGCCTTGAATTTTTCTTTTTCTTTTTATTGAAGTATCTTTGGCTTATACCCTTTTTAATATTTTGACAGTATAGGATTCCCCCCTCAGGTGTCCTCACTGTGGCCCTCCTGCACTGAAGCTGCCATAGTCCTACACTGAAGCTGCCATAGTCCTCCACTATAGTTCATTGTGCTCCCTGCTCTCCATCTCCTTCTCTGGATGCCTCAGCTCTATGGTCAGGTTTCAAGAGCTGGTTTTAAAGTTTGTCTTTGTCTGACCCTTTGTTTGAACCTTGGATATTTGAAAGAAGAGGACAACAAATTATGCTATTATTATGAAAACAATTGATAGCTATCTCTACCCCCCACTTGGCAGTTGAAACCACTACAAAGGCATGTCAAAACCCCAGGAAGAATAGGCAGACAATTTGAAGAAAAGAGTAGTACTTTAAGAAATGCAGATGCTGGCACCCGTTTCTACCTACCAGGTGATTAGCTAATAACTCAGTGGTGATGTTTTGAGAGTCTCTTAATGCTACAAAAATTTTAGCATCTCCCCAGCAAGTAACCATATGTGTGGCTCACTTCATGCTAATGTGACTTACATTCCCAGGCAGAGATCCCACGTGACAAAGGTACCAGTCCATGGAGAGAAATGCAGAGGAGAGGTCCAACCAAATCTTTTTTTTTTTTTAATTTTTTTTTTTTTATAGAGGCATGTTTTATTTATTTATTTGTTTGTTTGCTTTGTTTTATACATGCACTGGGTACAGTCAGAAGCGCGGGAGGGTGAGAGAATTCACCAGAGCCAGAGCGGGGAGCAGAGCAGGCAGAAGGACCCAAGTACACTGCTGAGGGGAGCAGCGGGCGGCAGGAGAGGTCTGCGCGCCATGTGGGACCCTCCTCTGGTGGCCGGGGAGCAGCCGGGGATCGAACTGGCGCCGCTGAGGCCGCGGGCAGCTTCGCAACCCAGCGCTCAACCGATGCGCCACCGGGGAGGCCCGGTCCAAGGAAATCTTAGAGAAATTATGCTTATGGCTCAGCTTTTTGCTGATGGCTCAGAAATGACGCTTAGCTTTCCTATGGGACTAGGAAGTGGAATTCTCTCTCCCTTTTTCAGCTGATTAAAATGCAGATTGTTGAAGGGAAATGGCCAGATAAACAGCATGGCTACAGATGGTGTCAGTTTCTTCAGATTTGTGAAGGCTTCGTGCTTTGAGTAGACAGTTGACTTTCATAATCCCAGGTAGCATGCTACATATGACATCAAAACAGAAGCATTTTCTACCTGCCTTGACCTCACATTGATTTCCTTGGCCCCCTCCCCTTCATGAGAAGTCTCGGTACTCCAGATGATTTTGATAATTTCCCATGAATCACATGTGCACATTTGTATTGTGGATGACCAGCTACTCATGAAAATGTGTTAGAAGTAATGTTTTCACCAACTTGAGGATAATTGTTTTAACTATTAATCATTGGCAACATAAAGACTCTTGCAAGAATCATTTTTTGTGCTTAAGTCACATTTTATTTTATTTTTTTAAGATTTATTTATGCATATAAAAACCGGGGTACAGGTAAAAGAGGTGTGAGGGGTGAGAGGATTCACCAGAGGCAGAATGGGGAACAGAACAGGTAGATTGACTGAAATGCACTGCTGAGGAGAGCAGCGGGCGAGACGGGAGAGGTCTGCTGCGCCATGTGGGTCACCTCCCTGGCTGGGGATAGAACTTGTGATGCAGTGGCTGCAGTTAGCTTCATAGTACTGCATCTTAACCCCTTGCACCACAGGGAGGCCCCATTTTATATTAAGTAGCAGAATGACCAATGATAACCACTCTAACATATTTCCATTTTTTTCCTCAGATGGATCCTAATAGAATATCAGAAGATGATACTCACTGCATTAATAGAATTTTCAAACTTCATGAAAATGTAGATTTGCAAGATATGACTCTGGAGAACCAAGACACAAAATTAATACCTGATTCGTGTAAGAGAATTAAACAGGCCTTTCAAGCGGCTGTGCAAAAGGTGAGTTCATGTCACTTCATAAGTCAAGGGCCTTGCTGACTCTCCTAATACTGGAAATTAAAACTGGTTAAATACTTTTGGTGCTCTTCTTTTTAGTTTAATAATTTATAAAGAGCTAAATAGAATTTTTAAAAGGGACTAGCAGAAATCTTTGGAAGCTGGTAAAGGTTGATTATGGTAACAAGGGACACTCATGCAAATATTCCTTTCTCTCTCTCTCTTTCATTTTTTAAGAGAAGGATTTTACTTCACACTTGGAAGAAGCTCAGAGATGGTTTGCGGTAGTCCAGTTTGCTGCTTTGCATTCCCTGACCTAGAAACCATGCTCTCAGTTCACAGAACTCTCTGATAGCTGTTCCCTTTATATTTGGTTTTGTAATGCTGGAATCCCCTAGGGCTCTGTTGAGAATAATTGTAACTGGTCTATGGTTGTCATCTGTGGTGAGGAGGTAAAAAGGCAGAGCAGAAAATGGTGTGGTGGGTGAGATGGGAATTCTGTGTCTCTTTTCTCATTTTCTGAGAGAGCTCAGTGAGAAGATGAGATGGGCGCAGAGAAAACCAACAACTTCTCTTTCACCAACAGTCTCAAGAAATACTTATTATAGCTATCACACATTTTCCTGGATACATTCACTTGAGAAGCCTGCAGCCTTGGGTTTATTTTATTTACTGATTCCCCATAAAACTTGGTGGTGGAATCCTAGCAGTGACTACAGTGTGTGCATACCTGCAAGCATTGCACAATAACTTGCACATCTGCATGGGTTTTTGCATCCACTCAGGCATCCCAACTCCTATGCTGCTTCTCTTGGACAATGGCTCAGGATCTTAGAGTAAATCTAAAGTCCTTCAATTCCTAAAATCCAAATCAAAATTTTATTTAGTTTTAAAAATTCACATATAGTGATAGCTTTTTTTTTTTTTAAAGATATGTATTGGAGTAGAGGTAGGGAGACAGAACTTTTGTAAAACTCTTAAAGTTGATGTTTGATGTATTTTATCAAATCTAAAGTGTCATCAGTTTTCAAATCACTTTGTTATTTTATGCATCACAATGAAAGAAGAAGTGTAGACTATAAACTTAAATGTGATCGTCATAGGTTCTAAGTGTGTCTTAATTTCAGAGTTACTAGGATGTGAAAAACAAGATCATTATGGAATTAATGAGGTACACATTGCTCTAGGATATGCAAAAAGCATATTGCTTTTTGCAAGTATTACGGCTTCATTCTGACTAGCGTATAGATGCTTAGCTTTGTGCAATAGATGTATATTTTAAAATATGGTTTCTTAAATTTTTGGTAATTATTTCATCTTATGTTACAGTTGTTCTCTATAGCAATAGCAGTTTTTCTCATCTATTTCTTCTTGTTGCTTTATATTTCATTGTCACTAGTCTGCTAATTATCCAATCTCCCAAATGTTGAAGACTCTATCTATAAACAACTATTTACATGTACCAGAGGTAATCAGTTTAGGACTGAACCCCTAATTAACATAATTCTGGTTAGGTAAATAATTATCTCCTAATTTTCTGCTTACACCAACTCATCTACTTAAGATAAAGAGACAAACTTTTAATTTCATTGATGTCCTGGGGCTTTTCTAGAAAAGTAAATAGGCAAGATCAACCAAGATGATTTTGAAAATAAATAATATTAAGAAGAAAAGATGCTATTAAAATTTACTTGGTGATGGATGAGTGAAACACGTGCAAGTGTCGAGATGTGAAGCCACACTCCTGATATTATATGGGTCTGTAAGCCAGTGGTCAGTAAAGTTTGATTGAAAAAGTAGTGAAAGATAATTTAAATTTAAAAACATTTACTTGTGAGAATGCAAGGGTTCAACTCCATAGATCAAAGGAGAAAAACATTATTATTTCTGATAGTGAGAAATGATTGACAACATTTTGCATAAATTTCTGTGATTGGAAATCCATTAGAAAATAGAAGTAAGTGACCTCTTGATATTGTTCTAAAGAGCTCAAACTAAATGTTAGCTAGTGGTGAAAAATAGGAGCCTTTCTCTAAAGTCAGGAATATCATAAAGATGTCTACTGTCTGCACATTATTTAACATTTTTTCCAAATGTGTTAGCTAATGTAATTTCATCAAGAGAATAAAATAAGGAAAAGTAAAAGTGAGAGGCGAGGGTGGAATTTTCGCGTGATATGATTATATTTTTGGAAAATGAAAAGGAAACTGAAAGACTACAAGCAGCATAAATCAGTTTGTAAAAATTAATAAAAATCAAAGGCTTCTCTATTTTAAACAATACTACAAAACACAAATAAATGATTCCACTCTTATTTTTTAAAATCCTAAAAAATCTTAACAAAGAATTGAAAAACTAATGGGAATAAAACTAGGAAACTTTATAGAGGCACTTGAAATAGGACTGGATAATGTAAAGGCATAACCATGCAAAGTCATGAAAATCATCCTAATATAACTTGAGCAAAGGCTTGAAGACAAATTCATAGCAGAGAACAAACAGTTAACAGTGAACCTTGAGTATGTGCATGAATGTGCATTTCATATAATACAATAAAAAGGTATTCTAAATAAGTGGAGATAGTTTGAATTATTCAAAATGATTTTGAGCTAATTTGTTTGCTTTTTAAAAAAGATTTATTTATTTATTTTATTTATACAAGAGCTGGCGTACAGGCCAGAGGCGCGGGAGGGTGAGAGGATTCACCAGAGACAGAGTGGGGAGCAGAACAGGCAGAAGTACCAAAATACATTGCCGAGGGGAGCAGCAGGTGAGACAGGAGAGGTCTGCCGTGCCATGTGGGCTGCTCGCCGGCCTGCCGGAAATCAAACCCGTGCTGCAGAGGCTGCGAACAGCTTCCCAGTGTTGCTTTCAACCGGCTGCACCACTGTGGAGACCCTGTTTGCTATTTTAAAGAGTGGCATCCTCATGTCCTAAGTGAAAAGAAATTCCAGATGGAGAGGGTAATTGGTGACCAGTCACTACTCGCGTAATCCTACATCACCTCTTTTGTCCCCACCTGCCCCATCACAACTGCCTTTGAACTTTCTAAGAGACTACCCAGACAGTAAAATAAACAAATTTGAACTTAGAGAAGTTGATGAGGAAGAGGGCGGGTGATTCACTCTTTTAGGGAGTCTTTCGGAAACATCGTGCCTCATTCCAAATGAGTGGCACTAATTTTGAGAGATTCAGTCGCTGGCAAGCCAGAAAGGGGAAGATTTCTGAACAGACAAGAATAGTCAACTTCTCTTATTGAAGAACGCAATTTTAATTATACGAAGAGATTAGTATGACTTGTAGGATGAGTAGAACTTTATTTCATTATTTACACATTTGTATTGTGTTATTTTACCTATTTTAAAGAATAAGGAGCTGTCATAATATCCCAGTCTGTTTGGAGGTGGACAACACCATTTCTTTACCTAGACAAGAGGCTCTTTAGGAAGAAGAGTATTATCCAGACCTTATCATTAGAATTAACCCATGTTTGTTAAGTGCACATATTATGCTAAGCACTTGCCATAGCTTCTCCTGTCTCCAAGGATTTACTCTTCTCTCCCCTTCACCAAACAATGATTTGTCAAATGTGTTCTCCTTTGATGCGGATTATTTGTTAATGTGACTTTCTATTCATCTTGCCAAAACAATCAGATTTCTCATTTCTTGTGCTTGTACTGAAAATAGGATGGGTGGATGTATTAGCCTTTCATAACTAAGTTTGGATTTTAATTTTAATTCTAATATAGCTATTGTGTGAACCCATAAAACAAAGTTACAGGTGTGGCCACAATCATTATTGAGAGATCAACCCAACCAGTGGTAACAAATGCTAGACATAAGCACAATATCACATTATAAGTGTGCAAAAAATGGTGTTTACCCAGCCTGTCTTTGGTCAGACAAGTAATGCTGTTTTTTCTCCCTTTTTTTTTTTTTTTGGTTTGTGGCTGGATTTTCTTGGCTTCTTTTCCCCTTTAACACAGAACTCCGAAACCCTTTTAGTGATCCAGCCCTACCAACCACAATTTACAAAGTCTATCATAACAGTCTGTGACAATAAAGAAAACACTCGGGCAAATATGGTATCTAATTTATAAAGTAATTCCTGTATCCAGCTCTGGAAGCCTTTCTAGCATCTGCCAGCGTAAGGAGCAGTGAGCTTGGCCTTAGCAGGGCCTGCCCTGTGTGGCAGGAAGAACACTTGACCCTCAGCCCTCCTGGCAAGTCTTTGTGGAAAGCCATCTGTTCAGGCACGAAATGGACATTCTGAGCATTCAGAGCTATGGCTCTACTCGAATTCAGGAGGCCAGATTGTTGATTTCACATTGGGCATCTGTTAGTGAAAAACTCCTGAAAGTTAATTTCAAAGCTATATGAAAAAATGATATGCAGGAGGGAGCTCAATCTACAAATTACAGAAATCACTTTGCTCTCCAAAGTGGATTCAGAATGCATTCAAGATGACCCCCTAGGATCTGGGAAGGAAACGCATGGACTTAGATGTATATATATTTTTAACATTAGCTTTTAAAGTTGTGTTTCTTGACTATTTCATAATGTATCTAACATACAAAATATTTTTCGGTATTTAGATAAACGTTTGTTTGTGAGTATTAAATACTTTAAAGAGCCGCACAATTAGAAATGTCAAGACACTGTGAACTGTAGCTGAGGGTTCCATCAGGACAAGGAAGTGGCCATTTTACTCACATTTAAATATATCATGTTCAAGAAGGAAAGAAAAGGACAAATAAGTGATTGATGGCTTATTGAACTCTGTAAGCTGTTTTTAAATAAAGTGAACATCAGCCAACTCATAAAGTCATTCAGAAAGTTATAAGCCTGATTCTCATTTATCTGGTGTCTGACCAGTGTTACAATTGATAGTTATTAACATTGCAACCTGAGGTAATAATAATGCCTCCACACTAACAACACAGGCTAATTTTTGCACACTTCCCTGCAAACTCTAGAGGCAGGGAAGAGTATGAGCTAAAATC